CGATTCAGACCGATCGGAGTGGGGATTTGTTGGAAACCGGTTCCATGAGTTATATTGAATTTCTGCAGACCCACCTCCACCTGTCTCAATATTGACTTGATGCTTTCCAGCGGTTCTAAAAAAGCCGGAGTTTCGTAATAATTGGGATAGTGCCGTTGTTGAAAATGGGTGGTTTTGTGAAAAAAGTCGCACTTTTCGCCTTTTAAACAGCTTCCCTTTCTTTCTAGGAAGGGGCATGGGGTCAGGTGCTTGGGTTTAGAAAAGATCTGATGTTCTTTGTTATTAGATTCCAGATTCGAATGGGAGAAGTCACAATTGCCTCCTTTAGTGCAATGGCCACGGCGGAGAAGGAATGGACATGGGACAACACTCTTAGGATTTTGAGACGCACATTCGGAATTAGGCTGTTTATCTGTACTAGTTCTGTCGGGATGGCCAGACACAGCCACTCCTACAACGGGGTTCATATTTTCATTTCTTGTATTCGGGCTATTCGGTTCTTGGAATGTTTTATCCAATTCGACCAATTCAATTATTTTATCATGTTGCTCATTTTGCATGGGGTTTTCATTTTGTGTGCTTTTGCAATGCGTTGTTTGGTTTGAGACTTCAGAGGACGGTTCCGGTTCGTAAACATTTCCTAAGCGCTTAGCTTCAATTATTAATTGCCGTTTGTCCTCGTTTACGAGACGCACTGAGGTTACTAAGCTAGCCTTCTCCTCTTCAAGTATTTTAATTTTTGTATTTAAATCAGAGGTAATATAGACTAAGTTGTTCATGCGTTCAAGGTATTCGGCGTTTTCTTTCTTAAGAATTGCATTTTCAGAGCAAATAAGTTCGTATTCTTTTCTAAGTGTGTGTAGTTCAATATATGCAGTATCATTCGATGAGATTGTGACATAGCTGGTTTGTGATATATTTGGTTTTAATAATTAAACTGTTCTTCGTCGAGGTCCAGTACTGCAGTGTAACGAGACGCTAAATTACTGTAGACTAACTTCATTATACTGGTATTTATATACTGCTAACTCTATCGTTCTCCCAGAGGTCCAGTAAGCGTAATCACTTTAGTGTTACAATGGGAGGAAACCTAAACTAAGTGAAGTTTGCAGTTAATACCGATGTTGATGCGGGATACCATAGACAGATAGCTCTTTCAGTGCTAAACGGCTGTTCTCACCGATCACTAGTGGTTCAGTGTTACGAAACACTAGGCCAATCCTAGGCCAAACGGGAATAAACGCAGGAAAACAAACGAAACTGTTCTACTTGCGAAAAGCCAAAGCACTGCAAAGTTCAGGACGCCTTTTTCTTGTCGTTTATTTCAATTTATAACGACTTTGTGTATATTTAACATTTTGTCCCAACAACGAAAGCTAGAAACGAGACTGCTATGAAAACGACCACGCTTTCTCCAGATTTCTGTGTGGAAAAAGTGAAAATTTGACAACGTAGAGATGGCGTTTATCCAGAGGTGAAAAATAGTATTTTATTGAGACTATAACGTGAATATATAGCTTATTCCGTGAAAAAATGAAGACAACCATGGAAGGAAAGTTTTCCCCGAGCCAACGGCGCGGAGCGCCGTTCTTGGCGTTAGCCCGGGGCGAGGGTACCAATTCCGCCCGGCTATTTACACCCGGAGAAAGTGCGCGTGGATCACCAACCGTGGGTGGTCATCCTCACTGATCTCAAAAATATGGCTGTTTGCCAGGAGTGGGGTAAACAAGATTTCAATTTTGAAAAGCATATATTTGGAAAATCACGTTTCACACAATGAGCTTTGTTTGTTGCTTTAAATTTATATTGCGTAAAACATGCACTGCTTTCCTTTTCAACGAAGCTGTATTAAAGTTTGCTAAATTACCCTGTTTTGTTTAAGAAAAAAAGGTAAAATGTAAAGGAGAGCAAATTAATTTGAAAATCGAATTGAAATTACTCAAGAATTTGAACTTATTTTGTTTTGTAAAGTAAAAACAGTTTATCGGAAAAAGCAGTTTATAGTTTAATATTAAAATGAACATTCAAAATATTTTACGAATCGATTCAGGTTAAATTTTACATTAAATCAAAGCTCACAAAATGCAGAACAACGTACCTACAGTACATATTTCGGAAATTCATTGTTATATAGTTAAAAGCAATAATCTTTCAACTATTTTTGGCGTGTTGTACAAAAAATATAATAAAAATTAAATTTATCAGTGTTGATCAATTACTAATACTTCATGATAAATCAATGTTTGGAAAATACATGCGAGGTGTTGCTGCATGCATGTATTTCTAGTTAGTTATACGCTATATATTCATGCATATTGCATAATTGTTGATGTGTGATCTTTTTTCATCATTTTATATATGGGGGGGGGGGGGGGGGGGAAGGGGGTTAGTCGTTCAATACCATTATACCTGTCAAACCTCCAAGTTGTGGGACACGAACACGAAACAAACAAACATAATACTATTTCGCTTCATGCAGTCTGGCTTGCTCTGATTTGACAGACTGCAAATGAGGCGGTTGCAAAAACTTGGACAGAGATACAGAAAGACTTATTATTTAACAAATATAAAACATTTTCCGTGTTGATATACAGTTATATCAACACGAGTGGAATTGAGAAAACGAGAAATTGTATGGAAACACGACGCCCGAAGGGCGGATCGAGTGTTTTCATACAATTTCGAGTTTTCCCAACTTCCACGAGTGTTGATATAACTACATGTATATATCAATACGGAAAAATGTTTTATATATTTTTTATAATATAGCAATGTCAAAAGCCCGAATGATGAGAAAAATTTCCGTGTTTACGAGCGGCGGAAAATTTCCCGTGTTGACATGGAGTTATATCAACACGGCTCTTAGCCAATTAGCGTTCAGAATTTACAAATGCTATATTATAAATCCTTATATTACACTTTTTAAGAAGAACATTGAAACACATTACAAAATACAAATTCCAGCAAAAGTGATGGTCTAAAATTAACGATGAACAACCGCTATACATGCATGGTACGAATTAGTACGATAGAAAACTGTGTGTGAATAATTTTATATTTCTCAACGATGGCTTCTATAACAATCCCCCCCTTGATCTAAGCAAAGCTGGGCGTAAGTATTAAAGCAGGGTACAGATATTCTTGGAGGGTATCGTTGTGTTTCCACTGCAACATCCATCGAAAATTTAATAAATCATATAAATTTTGAGAGTATAGTTAAAACTTGCTCACTGTAAGGCTGCATGCAGGGACAGACATGAACAAATTGTTATGTGATGCGAGACCATAACAACAAACAACATGAAAATCATGTGATGCCGCGGATTTCTTTTAAAAGTTCATGGCGTTATATCTTATCAGTTTTAAATATTTCTGTTTAGTCAATACAGCTGCCAAAAAGGAGGATGGCGTGTCGACTGTTGTAGTATGGCATATTGTTGTGACGTTGGTGTCTGCATTTATTCTTGGAATACTCTTTTCCTACATTGTCTCGTGTTCTCGTCGTCGTTGGCTTAGAAACAGAAACCCTGAACCAAAAACAACTGAAGTTGATACAACTTATCAAGAGCTTGATCTTTCAAAAATGAATACAGAAGATAATTATCAATCGTTGAGAGTGAATGCTACAAATAATGACACTGCGGTTAATGACGATGAATCTAATTATACTGAATTGAACAAAACTACAGATGTGGAGAACAACTACGAATCTTTAACTTGAACTTGGAATGTAGATATAAATCGATACTCGCGACCATGCAAACCATATTCTTTTGTTTTCGAATGTAATTCTCATTAATGGAACTAACTAGATTCGTTTCTATTAGCTTACAGCTTCTGGGACCTTATATTGACTTAGCTTCTGAAATTTAAAATAACTGCCATTACCATGAAAATCAAATTACAAATAAATCATACGATCAGTTGGAGTCAGTGGCGGCGCCAGGCCTCCAAGTTTGGGGCATTTGAAGGGCAAACTCAAATTTTTGGGGGGCAAGATAGAATTTTAAAAAGGTCGCCCCCCAGGAGATTCGCCCCCCCCCCTCTCAAAACGTGGCGATATTCCTAGGAATATCGCTCCTGGGGGGGGGGGGGATATCCTAGGAATATCGCCTCCCAGGTGGGTGGGGCGAATACCCTAGGAATATCGCCCCTCTTTAGGACATTCGCCCCCCATATATGCGATGTGGTTTATTCAAATAATTTCGTGATACTTTCATCTAATTAGTGCCTTACACGTTTGAGAATTTAACTCTGCAAAACTAAAGCTTTTTTTGTCTTTTTTTGAAACGTATTATTGGAGTATTGGCAAGTTTTACCATTCAGAGATTTACAAGCTAATATTGAAACTGTAAAAAACAATTTCATGTACACGCGCATTCACTAATGAGTAATGACGACTTATAAGCCATACATTTTCCGATAACGACAAATTAAACGCTTGTGTAGCATCAGGGCCGTAGCGAGGGGGGGGGGGCGTATTGGGGGGGGGGGGCGGGGGGC